AGGAAGGAAGGAAGGAAGGAAGGAAGGAAGGAAGGAAGGAAGGAAGGAAGTTGTTTACTATCATTCAAGCCACTCCATGTTCTGATGAAGGGAGCTGTTGCTCACGAAAACGGATGCCTCTGAATAAAAATTTCAAGTCGGAAAAGAGCTACCATTCCTTTGAAAAGTGTTCAAGGATAGCAAACAGCTACCAAGAATGTGTCTTTGGTCTAAAACAGTGTTTCTCAACCGTGGCAACTTTAAGACAGGGGGACTTCAACTCCCATCTTAAAGTTGCCACGGTTGAGAAAGACTGCTCTAAGAGGACATCGGCTCTCCGTTCTGTTCCCCCGCTTTTGCAATCCGATACTCAGGTAGGAAAACTCCAGCCCAGGGGTCTTCTGCTGCCCGGGGCTGCTCCCCAGCCCCCTGGAGACTCTTCACAAGCTCCAAACTTAGAATCTGCACTGGCAGCACTTCAGGGGAAGTGGCTAGATCCATGTTAAAGTAGCAACGCTTGAAAACACTCCTGTGTTCAGACAAGCAGGTTAGTGACTTCAAGATGGAGCAGCATTTCCCCAGCATACGAAGCTGGGTCGTTTAAGCCATACACTGGGGCCCTGGAGTGTGACAGAGCCCGTTTCCTGGCTCCGTTGAAGGCCTTCTATGATTCTCCGGCTGCTGCGTGTTTTTATTTTTCTGTGCATTTTATTTTAGTAATTCTTCGTGTTTTTATTTATTTTAAAATTGTATATCATGTACGAGTCATGTATGTGAGAGGGGGAGACATACAGGTAGTTCCCGCTTATCGACCACTATTGGGACCGGCAACTCGGTCGCTAAGCTAGATCTCACTTCCACTCTGGTTGTTAAGCAAACCACCGCAGCCGTTAAGTGAGACATCAGGTGACCAAGACTCGCGATTTTACTTCTGCGTTCTCAATTTTTTTGGTTGGAAGCCGGTGGCGAAGCACACAAATGGTGATCACATGACTGTGGGAGTTGCAGGGGGAGTGCTGCCACAGCTGCAAATGCAAGGATTGGTCACAAAGTTGTTTTTTTTTAGCACCGTCGTAACTTCAAATGGTCGCTGCCCAAGGCAGTCAGTAAGTGAGGACTAAATTTATAAATTGAATGAATGAATGACTGAACGAACAAATATGTTCTGCAGCTCATCAGGTTTCTTTTATGAGGTCATTTGATGGTTTGGTATCTCTGCAAACCAAGAAAATGGATTGGTTCTGGAATGAGGATCCGTGTGCTCTGCAAATGCCATCGGTTTCTTCCTTGGCCTCTCTACATTTTGGGAAAAGAGCAACAAGGGGCACTGAAAAAAGCAGCAGCTTCAGCCAGGATGTGAGCCAGGCTAAACTAAAAAAACGAACGAACAGAAAATCGGGGGGAACCGATCCAGTTTCCTACCTGTGAGAAACACAGCAAACCTCTTGGTGATGTGCTGAATCTGCAAGTTCAACAAACAGTTGAAGCGCTCAAATCTCACGCAAGATCTGGAGTCACACTTGTGATAGTGGAGGACTTCGGTGATATTTGTCCCCTGGCAGGATTTCAGGACAAACTCCTTGGTGTGCGCAGCAGGATCCCCCCTGCGGGAAGAGAGAAGGTCAAGAGGTGACCCCTCGTGCCGGGGGGAATTTGGGGAGGGGGTCCCAGTCCATCACAGAGAGTTCGTTCCAGCTCATTTCCCCCCCCGAAAAAAATAGCAATATTGTCCATTGATATGTCCCACTTTCCACCCACAGTAATCCCAAAGCACAGGCATTACCTGTGCAAACCCATTGTCCAGCTTCATAGAACATGCTTCCAGTTAACCCAGATTAACGGAACATAATTGCCTAAACAAATAAACCACATTCTGAATGAACGTGGTTCTCGTACAGTGCCCTTCTGCATTTAGTGAGGAATACCATATATACTGACAGATAAGCCAAGAATTTTCAGCTTATCCACAGATGGGCTTATCCAAGAGGATATACGGTAATACACTTTAAAAATACCTATCCGTCCTGTATATATATTCACAGATAAACCCATCTGCAGAAAACCAGACCCTTGGATTTTTAATCAGAATACAATGAAAAACGCACCACCAGCGGATAAGCCAATTTGTGGTGCATTTTTCTGGTATTTTGGTTAAAAATTTGAGGGTTGGCTTATCTGCAGATGGGCTGATCTGCGAGTATATACGGTATGTAGATTTGGTACAGCTGCATGTGTGAACCAGCGGGGAAGCAGGACTGGGATCGACCTGAGCTGAATCAACTCATCTTGAGGGTTCACACCGTGCTTTGAACCAGTCTATCCCGGGTCCTTTTCCTTTTGGTAAATACAGCATTTATTGCAGTGTTTCTCAGCCTTGGCCGCTTGAAGGTGTGTGGACTTCAACTCCCAGAATCCCCCAGCCAGCAGAAGGTTCTTGGGGAGGTAGACATCTCACCTGGCATCCTCCATGAGTTTCTTGGATTCCCTGTAATGAAGGAGCCATTTCCACCTCCCGTGACTGTTGAGCTTCTCCAGAGTTTTGATCACGTCTTTCAACTCCCCTACAGAAAGAGCGTTGCCCCATCCATTAGTCCAGAGTTTCTCAACCTTGGCAACTTTAAGATGTGTGAACCAACTTCCCTGGTCAGCACTTTAAGACATGTAGATTTCGACTCCCAGAACTCCCTGGGCAGCATGTCAAGACAGACTTCAACTCCCAGAATTCCCCAGCCAGCACTTTAAAACATGTAGACTTCAACTCCCAGAATTCCCTGGCCAGCACATTAAGACACGTAGACCAGCTCCCAGAATTCCCTGGCCAGCACGAACTTCCGAAGCAACTGGACTCACCCACAGTCATCGTCTCAAGCACTTTGTCATCAGACACGACAAAGCCGCCGCTGTGAAACAGCTCCTGGTAGGTGTGATCGAGGGTGTCTTCGGGGCTGTCCACGCCAGCAAAAGTCACATTGGGGAAGTGCTTGAGACGCAGCAAGGAAGGGACCTGGGGAAGGCACGAAACACTCTCAGGAGGAGCACCCGTCACAGGTGCCCTCCGACGGGCAGCCTGAGGTTTTCAGGCAGCGTGAAAGAGACCCTCGATGAGTTGTACCGCGCAGGCACAGAGGAAGCACGACTCGGAGAACCCCTTGGAGGGCGTATGTCGTATAAAAGACGGGTGGTGTTTCAGGGCAACAAGCGCACAGGCAGGCAGAACTCAGTTCTGCAGCCTACTAAAATGGTTCAAAGTGGTGGAATCACAATCACAATATTATCCTGCAGGGTTTGTCCTGGTTTTACTCTTTCACAGGGTGGGGGCCAGCAGGGTGCGAAAATCCCCTTCTGCACACACACACACAAGCCACTGGAAAGGTTTTTTTTCCACCCAGCCCTTGCATGGCTTTTGAGCAAGTGTATCTTTGCAGCCACAGGGGCTGGCTGGAAATTTGGGTGGCTTAAAATGAAAAAGAAGGGTGAAGGCTGCCAGGAAGAAAACACAGTTTTGCTCTTCATACAAGCTGGAGCAGGCAAACAGTCCAGTGGCATCTGGAAGAAGACAGGATGACGTCACACCCGTCACAATGTGACTCGTGCAATGATGTTGTGACAGCGCAACGTGGGTGAGGTTGCAACGGGCACGGCCTGCGGATACCCACGCAAAACT